CCTCCGAGACACTTCCGAGACACCTCCGAGACACCTCCGAGACACCTCCGAGACACCTCCGAGGCACCTCCGAGACACCTCCGAGACACCTCCGAGACACCTCCGACACAAAACAGTGACGGTTCTGAGACACACACTGCCCCCAGACTGCTGCACATCCATCAACGAGTAATAGTTGAGGATGAATAACTGATGTCCGCAGGCTGCTGCACGGTGATCCGTACGCGGACAACGTGCCCGCTCAACCTCGAGACCTCTTAATTATAGTTTGAGCGTAGTTTAATTCGTCGCCAAGAACTGAATAGGTGCCCGCTCAACCTCGAGACCTCTTAATTATAGTTTGAGCGTAGTTTAATTAGTCGCCAAGAACTGAATAGGTGCCCGCTCAACCTCGAGACCTCTTAATTATAGTTTGAGCGTAGTTTAATTCGTCGCCAAGAACTGAATAGGTGCCCGCTCAACCTCGAGACCTCTTAATTATCAACTGATAATGCATTATGAGAGTACTTAATAACTGAATAGGTGCTGCTCAACCTCGAGACCTCTTAATTATAGTTTGAGCGTAGTTTAATTCGTCGTCAAGAACTGAATAGGTGCCCGCTCAACCTCGAGACCTCTTATTTATAGTTTGAGCGTAGTTTCATTCGTCGTCAAGAACTGAATAGGTGCTGCTCGACCTCGAGACCTCTTAACCCTTAGTTGATAATGCATTATGAGAGTACTTAATAACTGAATAGGTGCTGCTCGACCTCGAGACCTCTTAACCCTTAGTTGATAATGCATTATGAGAGTACTTAATACTGAATTATAGGTGCTGCTCGACCTCAAGACCTCGCAGGCGGCGATATGCCGAGATATGGCCGAGATATTGCCGAGATGTGGCTCCATTTCCAGTTTGCACGTGCTGTCAATCTCGGCTCATCTCGGCTCATCTCGGCTGATCTCCGCTGATCTCGGCAGGCGGCGCTGGTGGACCAGGAGGCCGGCTGTCAAGCTAGATCTCGGCTGATCTCCGCTGATCTCGGCAGGCGGCGCTGGTGGACTGGGAGGACAGCTGCATCGGCCCTCTCGCCTTCGACCTTGCCTGCGCCCCTAGATGCTGAATACCTACCTCCTTATATCTCCCCACATCTCCTCATAGCTCGCCTTCGACCTTGCCTGCGCCCCTAGATGCCGAATACCTACCTCCTTATATCTCCCCACATCTCCTCAGATGCTCCACCGAGACCTGAGAGAGAGGCACAACGTGGAAACATCATTCAACGTGGAAAACACACGCGCCACAACGTGGAGTACCCCTTACCTGACCTTACCTTGCTTTGCCTTGTGCCTTACCTTACCTTACCTTATACCTTGCCTCAGGCCTGCGCTGCGGCCGGCGGCTGCTTCTCCACCGCCGACGACACCGCCGCCTCCGACGTCTTCCCGCCTCCGGCCACCCTCAACGTCTCCCCGCCCTGCTGCTCGCACCGCCCCGCCGTGTTTTCTTTTTTACCGGCCGGCTTTTCTTCTTTTTTAGGCCGCCGCCCTCGGCTCGCTGCTGGCTTGCTACGCGGCCGCCCGGGGCGGGTTCGGGAAGGCGCGCACACGCACACACACCGCACATACAAACACACGAACGCACACGCACACACACACACACACACACACACACACACACACACACACACACACACACACACACACACACACACACACACACACACACACACACACACACACACACACACACACACACACACACACACACACACACACACACACACACACACACACACATTTCTCACCCTGTCCAGCACTTTTCAACGCCGGGGCTCCTGTCTACGTGGAGCCACTCGCACGAGACGCTACCCCGGACCGTCGTTCACCTCAGGCCGAGGCGGAGGCGCTGGTGGACCTCACCCTCTGCAACGCACTGGCGCGCGCCCGTAGAGGCTGACTGCGGGCCTCTGCGTTCGACACGTATCTTGCCTCCTCGGCCCGCGGTCTTGAGCGTATTCGTAGCCCAGACACTAGATTCGGTATTCTTTTTCATCGTATTCGTAGCCCTCGTACTCACCACGCAGTGCTCTGCACTGCGGCGAGGATTCCTCTTTTTCTTTCAACGCCCGGTTGTTTTATAGGCGTGCGCCCTCTACCGATTCTACCAGTTCCACACAGTCGACGCGAATGCCCCGGCGGAAGCGAAGCGGTCCTGCCGGGATCATGCCATTCTGCCGAATTCTCAAGTTTAGTCATCATAACCAGGGCGCTAATCATAATCAGGTCCTACCGGGAGATGCACGCGATCTGCCTGGCGCTGGAGGTGCCGGCGGTCGCGGCGCAGATGCGGGAGATTGCGAGCGCCGCCGTCTGCTAATATCGGCCAATCTCCGAATCTCAAACGCGGGAGGTTGCGAGCGCCGTCCTCTGCTGAGGATTGCGAATCTCGCCGAATCTCCGAATCCGCCAGAAGCGGGAGATTGAGATTGCGAAAGAGCTCCAGCAGCGGTGCAAGCTTTTGACTGTTCAGCTACTAAAAAGAATTCAGGAAAATCGCAAACAAAAATCCAGGCGCCTCCGTTTCGTTCACGTGTGTCCGAGCGCCTCTTTCACAATCTCTGCAGGCACCGATGGTCCCCCGGGGGGGCTCAGTTGAAGATCGGTGACAAAAATCTTGACACGCCCTCAGCTCACGTTTGCGGCCGCTGCCCGAGCCGCTGTTGACAGGCACACAGGTGCTCAAAGTCGATCGGCCTTACACAGGCAGACGAAGCGATGGGCTGCGGCACGAGCAAGCCGGGCCTGACCTACAAGCAGAAGCTGGAGAAGTGGCGCAAGCTCGGCGGCGGCGACCTGGAGCCGGTCCTCGCGAGCGGCGCCGTCGCCGTCCTCGACGCGCAGTGGATCATCAGCCACGCCGAGGCGGGCGGCGTCCTCACCCACCGTCAGGCGCTGCCCAAGGAGGCCTTCCTCTCCCTCACCGACCTCGTCGAGGCGACCAGCGACGTCCCGTGGCTTCCCGTCGGAGCGCTCTCCTACCCGTGGCTGACCAAGGACCACCCCGACCCGCGCGGAGCCAACCTCGCCCGCGTCGCAAGGGCGCTCAAGGCCCTGCTCAGCCGTCCCGACCTCATCCCGCGGCTCGGCGTCTTTTGGGACTTCGGCTCGCTGCACCAGCACCCCGACCCCGCCAACGGCGTCATGCGCACCGAGGAGCAGAACGCGCTCTTCAAGCAGGGGCTGGGCTGCCTCGGCACGCTCTACTCCCACCAACACACACGCGTGCTGCGGCTGACCTCCTTCCCGGACGGCCACAAGGCGGAGGACCAGGCCGAGGGCACCAACGTGGCCAAGTACTTTGACCGCGGCTGGTGCTACACCGAGTCAAGCTGGGCTGGCCTGACAAAGGCTGGCTACCTCTCGCTCGACCTCGGCAAGATGCGCGACGGCTGGGAGTACGACTGCGACAGCCTCCGATTCGACTGCACCTGGGGCGGCGGCCGGCGCCCTCCGCTGCTGCCGTCTGCCTTCGCGGCGGAGCTGGAGACGAAGAGCTTCACCAACGGCAAGGACGACAAGCCGCTGGTGAAGGGGCTGTACGAGGCCGCCTTCGAGGAGCAGTTTGGCAAGGCGACCGTGCTGCGCTACAGCATGCTCGGCTGGGGCGACGCGGAGGCGGCGCAGCTGGCGGAGGTCCTCGCGAGCGGGGCAGCGCCGCGGCTCGAGACGCTCCTTCTCTTCGACAACAAGATTGGCGACGAGGGCTGCAAGGCGCTGGCCGCCGCCCTCAAGGAGGGGGCAGCGCCGCGGCTCGAGGTGCTCTCTCTCTTCGGCAACGAGATTGGCGACGAGGGCTGCAAGGCGCTGGCCGCCGCCCTCAAGGAGGGGGGCACCCCGAGCTTGAAGGCGCGAGACGCCCCCCTCGCCACACGCCCCTCCCCCACCCAATGCTCATCGCACATCCCCTCGCGTGCAGAGGCTCCGCGTGGACAACAAGAACAAGGAGCAGCCTGAGCTGGTGGCCGCGTGCGAGGAGCGCGGCATCGACCTCTGCTGAGCCTCTCCAGCCCCGGCCGGGCGGCAAGGGCGCAGGGTCTGGCGGGACCGCCGCCTGAGAGCACGGCAGAGGGCAGCAGACCCTGCGGCTGCGAAGGAGCGAAGCACGTACAGCGACGGTGGGGGCGCGCGGGGGTTTGGTGGGTGGGCGGGTGGGGTTTGGCGTGGGTGGGTGGGGTTTGACGTAGGTGGGTGGGTGGTGGGTGGTTTCTTCTTCCTTGCCGCTGGACGCACGCGCAGCGCCGGGGTATCTGGATATTGAGGTGTTGGTGGTAACCTTAGTACATGGAAGGATTAAAAAGAACTCTAATCACCCTAGCCCCTCCCCTGAAAAACAATTTTACAAAAGGCGGTCGCACAACACGATTCGCGCGAAAGGGAAGGCGCGGGCGACGGCTTCCTCAGAAGCCGTCGCCCGCACCACAGGAGCAGCCACACCACTCCCACTCCGGCGCCCACCCACTCCCCACCCCGACATTACCACCCCACCCCACAACCCCGCCCCACCCCCCCCAGTCCTTTATCTGCGTTCTTGCACATGGAGTACTCGTCTGTGTCCCAAACTGTCACTCCCCTTTCTCCCGGCCGGGGCGCGCGCGCGGGGGGCGGGTGTGCGGGATGTCTGTGGGCCCGAGAAAGATATGCCATGTCCGCCTTGCGTTGTTTCCGAACTTCGAAGGTAGGTAGGTAGAAAGGTGAAGAACAGCCAGGCTCGGACTGGACACCAACGCGGTATGGGTGGACGCAAGACAGATGATGACGACACGCACGAGCGACACACAGACACAAACAAGCTCACAAGACACACAGCCAGCTGGCTGCCACACACCCTGAGTTGGCGTACACACTTCGAAGTGACGTAGTTAATCAAAAAAAAGAAAAGAGTGGCTCGCGTCACAAGGGACGCACGCAGCGCGCGCTTTTCCACGAGTCGCTGTGAGCGTGGCTGTGAGCCCCGGCGCATGCCGTCGACCGCCACGACCTTGACGGTGCTGACCGTCAACTTTGCCTGCCGCGACGTGGCTCCGCTCTCGGGATGCGACAACTGCGCCACGCGCTTCGGCCTGATAGCCGACGCCATCAGCGGCACCAATCTGTCTGCGTACAGCGGCCTCCCTGACCTCGACTCGGTGGATGTCGTCATTGCGCAGGTGCGGCTGCGCACGCTTACCCATGTCGCGTCCTCCACAGCCGCTGCCGCAGCGCCGAGAGCGCCCGACCCTGGCCCATCGACTCACTCGCTCGCCGCAGGAGCTCGGAACCGCCGCGGAGAACTTTGCAGACGTGACCGCGGCGCTCTCCGCGAGAGGGTTCGTCCACAGCACGGGCGACCCCGCCCCGACGGCGGCGGACCCGCAGTGCGCCGACGCGCCAGGCCCGCTCTTTGACCTGGCGGACAAGCAGGGCTTCGTTTCGCTGACCGGCCTCGACTCCGGCGGGCTCCTTCACACGAGATCACACCAGATCGCACGAGATCGCACGAGATCATACGACGTCACACGAGGTCACACGAGATCACGCTAGATCTCTCTGCTAACCGAGATCACCCTAGATCTCTCCCGAGACCACACGAGATCTCCAGAGATCACACGAGGTCACACGAGGTCACCCGAGATCACACGAGATCACACGAGATCACCCGAGATCACACCAGGTCGCACCAGGTCAGACGAGTTCACCCGACGTCGTGCGAGCGCAGGCGGGCTCGTGACCTTCTCGCGCCTCCCCCTCCTCTCCGTGGCGAAGCAAAACTGGTGCGCGCACGGCCTGCCGGCGCCGGCTGGCTACACGGCTGTGCTGGTTGAGCCGGCGGACGGTGAGCGCGCGCAGTGCAAGATGCGATCTCGGGGCATCTCGGGGTATCTCGGGGCAGCTCGGGGCATCTCGGGGCATCTCGTGGCATTTCGGCTGATCTCGGGACATCTCGGGGCATCTCGGGGTATCTCAGCTGATCTCGGGGCATCTCGGCTGATCTCGGGGTATCTCGGGGTATCTCGGCTGATCTCGGGGTATCTCGCGGCATTAGGCGTCTTTGCCGTGGTGATCGACCTGCACGCGTTTCCTGAGTACGACTTTGGGGTGCGCGAGATTGGCCGAGATTACCCGAGACGCCCCGAGATTGCCTGTGAGACTCCCACTGCTCCCCACCACCCCCTCCGGGCTCGCCTAGCCAACTGCATCTCTCGGCCATCTCTCGACCATCTCTCGTCCACATCTCGCACACATCTCGGACATCTCGGACACATCTCGCCGCGGCTCTGCGGAGTGCGGAAGCGGCGTGTCTTCACGGCTGTTGCCGCGTGAACAGGTGACAGCGGAGGACATCCGGACGTACCAGATGTCGGAGATTGCTGCCTTCAAAGACTCCGTCGCCGCTGCCCTCGGCGGTGCCGGACTCGCGTACAGCGTCGTGATGGGAGGCGGACGATTCCTAGACACTTCCCCGAGCCTTCCTGGCACTGTGTGACACTCGCCCAGCCACCCATCCTCCTCCGCCTCGGGCCTCGCATGTCCGAGGCGAGGTGTCGCCCTACCAGAGCGTGATAGGGCCGTGTCCCATTGAAGAACCCCCCCCCCCCCCCCCCAGGCGACTTCAACGAGGACGCCTACGCCGCGGCCGCCGCCTCCGCCACGCCCGACTGCAGCCTCATCACCGACCAGCTCACCGTCCAAAAGATGGGCGCGGTGCGGGGCGGCCAAGAAGCGGAAGACCCCCCCATATCTCCCCTGTATCTCCCCCATATCTGGCAGCGCGGAGCGAAGAAGCGGAAGAGGCATTCATGCACCCCATCTAGCGCTCGAGAGGACGCGTCCTCCGCTGCACTCGCTGGTTCAGCTGTCCTCCGCTCGAGAGGACACGCAACCAGCCGCATTCGACCGTCTTCGCACTCACGCGTGTGGTGCTCTGAAATCTCTGCACGCCACTGTACTCCCGCCCTGATGGTGCACCGCATTCGACCGTATTCGACCGTATTCGACCGTATTCGAACTCACGGGTGCTCCGAATGCTCCTGCACGATTCGTCTTCGCGCCCTGATGGTGCAGTTCTCCATGTAGGTTGGCCTGGACCTCCCCGCGGCGTGCGCGGCGGGGGCGATTGGCCCATACACCTGGGACACCTCCACAAACGACCTGGCCGCCATCTTTTCGGACGGCGAGAGCTACGAGGCGAGCGTGGCCGCTTCTGCCGCCGTAATAGTAGTGCGTGTGTTTGGTCATTAGACAGCGGCGCCGGGCTCGCGGGGGAGATATGGGGAGATATGGGGGAGATGTGGGGAGATATGGGGAGCTGTGGGGAGAGATGGGGAGATGTGCCGAGAGGACGCGGGGATGCGGCCGAGACATGGACGAGACATGGGGGAGATGAGGACGCGATGAGAACGAGACCTGAACAAGATGAGGACGAGATGTGGCACGCACGTCCCCTCCTGGCAGCTCGCCGTCTTCACACCTGCTGCTGTGAACAGCTGCTCGACTACCTAGTCTACTCGAGCAGCTCGGACGGCGCGCTGACCGGGCAAGCCCCCCCGAAAGAGGTTTCCTCCCCCCACCCCCCCCTCCCCACACAACCCCACCCAGCCCCACCCACCAGCCACCCACCCACCCACCCACCCACCCCTCCCCGCGCCTGTAAATTAGAGTCGCGTCTAGACGTGGAGTCGCGAGGGACTACCCTGGCCCCTGCCCCACCACCTCGCGTGTGTCTGTGGAGAAGTCTACCTCACCTCACCTCACCCACACCCGCAGGTCTCGACCCTCCGCGCCGCCGACGCGTGGGCCGGCGTCTTTTGCGAGAGCGACATCTTCGGCACGCTCGCCCCATCTGCTCCCGGCACCGCGCACGCCCTCACCGACCACAACATCGTCACCGCCACCTTCGCGCTCCCCGCGGCCGGCGGCGGCGGCGGCGCTGCCGCCGCGACCGCCGCCTTTGAAGCCGCCGTCGCGGCGTGGCGCGAGCCGAGTGGTGCGCAGGAGGCGCGGCTCGAGATTCGTCGAGATTCGCTGAGATTCGCTGAGACTCGCCGAGATTCGCCGAGATTCGCCGAGATTAGCGATCAGCGGGAGGAGGCTCTGCCACACGGCAGCGGTTCGGCGAACTGCTCGTCTTCCACTCCTGAGCCGCCTTCCTGGAACCTTCCCGGAACCTTCTCGGAACCTTCTCGGAGCCTTCCCGCAGGCGGCGTGCGGCCAGGAGGGCGCCGTCTGCTTCTACGACACAAACTGCTGCGAGGCGGCCTTCTCGTGGACGGGCGTCGAGCAGCACTGCGTCTACTACGAGTGCACGCCCGACGACGACGATTTCGCCCAGTGGCTCGTCATCGCACTCCCCCTCCTCGGCGGGGTGCTGCTGCTGGCCTGCTGCGGCGCGGCACTCTGCTATTGGCGGAGGAGGAGACGTGCGGCTGGCAAGCCGGCGGCGGAGGCGTCGAGGGGAGAGGCGGTCATCGGTGAGGCTGCTTAAGACCGCGAACCGATGTGCATGTTCGATGCCAAAGAAAAAAAGAATTTAAACAAAACAAAACTCTCTCTCACAGCAGACAGGCTCGACACAGGTGCGGACTGGCGCGTGCTAGCACTATCACAGCCGCACGATACTGCTTTGACAGCGTGCACCTCGATCCTGTGTACCGTGTTTGTTATGACCCCCCCCAATGAACGCACCAGCGAGGGAGGGCGAGAGACGAGTCCCGTACCTTGCGGAATCGACCCTACGTCAAGTGCTCAAGTGCTCAACCGAATGTAAACAACCGAATGTATCGGAAGAATTTTACACGCTGACTGCCCCATCCTCTCCTAAGATTCGTTCACCGGCTTCTCCGACACACTGCGCTGAGTGGTAGGGCCCCCAAGGGCCTAGAAATCGCGCCTGCCTCTCTCCCAGTAGAGTACTTACTCTCTCTCTCCCAGTACGCTAAAAGTACGTACACGCTTTCTCCCATTGATTGATTGATGGGAAGGCGAAACACAGTCCGACCAACGACTGGGACACCAACGCGGTATGGGTGGACGCAGGACGGGCGATGACGGTCACACAGGAGCGACACACAGAACCACAAGACAAGACACTCAGCAAGGGGCGGCTGCCACACATCCTGAGCGAACTTCCCTAGTCACCCGCGGCCGGACTCCATCCGGCACGCGTCGCCCTGGGCGCTCAGAGCTGCGTCCCCTGCTCGCCACCCCGACGCCCAAGGCGCCCGAGCGAACTCTCCCAGTAAGCTAAAACTACGTACACGCATCCCAGGAAGCTACGTACTTCTTTTGTTGAATTCGTACTTCAACGTACTTTTAGCTTAGTGCCAGAGTGCGCGCCAGTCCCGTGCGCAGCGTTGTGAACATCCTTTGTGTGTGTGAGTGAGTATTCTTGATACGAAACCACGACGACACACACCAGTCGACTCGCATCGGTTGCCTCCATGAACGGCGGAGCTATTCTCGCGTCCACACCACACCTGGCTGCCTCCAACGTGGACACGCCCATAGCTGGGGACACTACTAGGTCATGCATGGCATCAGAAGTTTTATCTCTGGGCCCCGAAAGGCATCTCCAGCAGCGTCGATACTCATGTGCGCCCTCCCCTCCTGGGCGCATGCGCCTCACATCTCGCCAGGGCATAAGCCCTTGGTGTGCGGCGAGACGAGTTTTTCGCCATCGCCGCGAGCAGCAAGCCGCCCGCCGCAAACAGCCGGAGGCCTCGCCGCGGCACTGGCTGCGCCGCGGTCCCGCACCCGTCGACGCAGCTCCCCCCGCGGAAGACCGCGCGTAGCGACGCCTCTTGACGATTGAGATGAGCGCGCCTGAAGCTCGCCCACCTACTGCCCCTGAGAGTTGGTTATGAGTGGGATCAGCTCCCCCCCTTGGGTTCGAAGCCGCCACAACCTCACACCCAACATCACAGGTGGGATCAGAGAGAGACCCCGCACCGGACACCGCCCGGGCACAGACTCCCTACCCATCGGATCGCACAGGGCCCCCTCGGAGCAGCCCACACACAATCTCGCATCGGCAGAATTAGTGCCTTAGTCAGGCAGACAGCACAGACAAGGAGAGGAGAGAGAGGAGAGAGTGAGAGAGGAGAGGGGAGAGGGTGAGGGAGTGTGCACACGTGAGGAGTGGGGAGGGTGTCTGTGGTGGGCTGTAGTCCTACGTGGTTACAACCACGCGCCCCTCAGGAGCTTAAGGTAGAGTGGAGCGCCCTAGACGCCTCGGTGCCTCCTACCGGCGTGAAGACCATCCGGATCTGCCGAGCTCGTCCTCCGGACGGACCCGTCCCCGCGATGGTCCACGGTCCTCCGTCGCCTGGTTGTGACCCCCTGCCTCCCTGTTGACCCCCCAGTCCTCCGCAGCTGCCTCTGCGCGTCCTGGGGAGGTACCGAATTGTCGCCGCCGGAGACGACTCGACGCCGCTGAGATCGGAGAGCAAGCTCTGACAGGTCGCACGTCGCTCCTTTGACGCCGACGTGACTCGCCCGTACAGAGCACCTCACCTACACGGACTTGACGCGCTCGGTACGACGCCTGCGACCCGTCTCGGGTCAGGTGGCACGACGCTCATCGCGCCCGCCAGTGCTGACGTGCAGGTTGCCACGACGAGGTCGAGCACGCTTCTATACGCTCGCCCAGCCTTCCTTTCCATCCCATAAGGTAGCCTGGGAACGGTGGCGGTCAGAGGCAAAGCCTACGAGGGGCGGTGGAACCACATGTCACGGCTACTGACGGCTCGACCCCACGATAGCCTCCGGAGGCTGACTTTGCGGCACCATCATCGGACGATGTCGACGAGTTGGGTCGCTCTCGCGGTAGCCAGATGACCTCTCATACTAGCATCATCGGCCATGGCCGCAGGGAGCGCGGGGGAGGGCGCTGGGAGCAACACGGAGCTCCGTTGGACGTTTTCAAGATTAGCGTGTCAGAGTGAATTGGAACTAGCCAGTGCAAGCACTGGCCCGGTGCACGTGGGTGAGCAGCCTGCCCCTCCCTCCCGACAAACCAACTCCCACACACACACACAATCGCACTCTGTGACTCTCGGCACGGTTGGGACAAGAGCGAAGCGGGGGGGGAGCGGAGAGGGCGGGCGAGAGGGGAATTGGGCAGGGCCAGGGGCTGGCTTGGGCGAGACACACACAAAACCGAGAGGCAGTCGAGATGGATGGGGCACCGCCTGAGGCCTGGGGTTCTTGAGAGCGAGTTGTATGCTCGTTATGTGGGCAGGAGCGCAGAGGGCCTGTAACGGTGTACGGTTTAAGGCCGGGCGCACCCCCTCTCACGGCGCTCACGCGGGGAGCGGGGATCGCCGGACGATGTGTGCCGTGAAAAGATACGGTTTGATCTGACTCACCAAACTGTGCTCGCTGCGCGTCGTGAGACTTTAATCTCTTTGGCTGCCTGCCACGACAGATCTGGCCGTCTCTCGCATGGAAATTAGTGCCCCCCCTTGCGCCCCACCACCCCTCGCGTGTGTGTGGAGAAGAGTTTACCTTACCTCTATATACCTTACCTTACCTTGGAAATTAGGCCAGGTAGGTACGTGAGTGCGCTGCACGGGCGCCGAGGGCGCGGCAACACCGCGCTCTGCGGGGACGCCCTCCTACGTCACAGCAAATCGGGCGGCCGACCCACCAGCCCGCTCACCCGGAAGCCAAACCCGCGCCCCCCCAGCACTCCGCCGCTGCTGCTCCGCCCGGCGGTGGCGGGCGCCGCCGCCTCCGCCGCCGCGGCCTCGGCGATCGAGGCGGCGCTGAAGCCTCCGCCGGCGCTCCTCCGCACTGAGGGTGACCACGTGCGAGCCTGTTCACACCGCGAGCTGTGAACACACGCTGCCGCGCCGGCGCGGTTGGAGCCGGCGAGGCACTGCCAGCAGCGGAGAGAGATGCAGCTGCGAGGTGGAGGCGCCGAGCACCATTGGAGGTGGGTTGTGTCCAGACATGCCCCGCTCGAGCGACGCCGTCGCGTCGAGGTCGACGGAGATATCGCGGTCAAGCAACGTCGAGATCGACGTCGAGATCCGCCGCATCCCTCCCGAAGTAAGCCGCTGCAGCTGGTGCGGCGCACCGCGCGGGAACGTCGCGCCGAGCAGCGCCGCGTCGCCGCCGTCGCCGCCCGCCGCGCCGCCAAAGTCCAGCTGCCGCGGCTCTGCGCCCCGCCGCGAAGGGTGGCGCGAGGGCAGCCGCCGTGACTTGAGCTCTCGCAATCTCTCTGGCGACTCGTACGACGCCGCCCTCCGCTGGCCATGGCCAGGCGCGGAGTTGGAGCGGGGCGGGGAGCAGAGGTAGGGGTCGCCCAGCGTGGGGTCGCCTGTTCACAGCGGGGAGGTGTGAAGAGAGAGGGAGCAGAGGTAGGGGTCGCCAAGCGTGGGGTCGCCTGTTCACAGCGGGGAGGTGTGAAGAGAGAGGGGGGGCAGAGGTAGGGGTCGCCCAGCGTGGGGGCGCCTGTTCACGGCGGGGAGGTGTGAAGAGAGGGGGAGCAGAGGTAGGGGTCGCCCAGCGTGGGGTCGCCTGTTCACAGCGGGGAGGTGTGAAGAGAGGGGGAGCAGAGGTAGGGGTCGCCCAGCGTGGGGGCGCCGAGTGGGTCTGAAATGACGACGTCGGACAGCGCTGCGCCGGAGGAGCAGGAGAAGGAGGAGGGCAGGCCGACCTCCTCCAGCAGCCGCTGGCCTGACACGCCCCGCCTCCCCTCGTCGAGAGAAACCGCCTTGCCCAACCGCGCCAGGCGCGACGGCGCCACGCTCCGCGCAGACTCGCAGATGGCGGCGGCCAGCTGCTGCCCGCCTGCGTGAGAGTCAACCGCCCACCGCATTGGCGATAGTGAATTATTGACGCCTGGGCCGATGGCAGCTCCGACATACGGCCAAGAGGCAAGACTCACAGCTAATATTTAATAATGAATAGCCCACCTGGGCCGATAGCGGCTCCGACATACGAATAGTAATCACAGTTAATATTAATATTTAATAATGAATAGTTCACCTGGGCCGATAGCGGCACCGACGTAGGGCGGCGCGGCGGGCGGCGCATCCGAGAAGCCTATTTTTTTCTTTTTTCTCTGCTAGCAAAAGAAGAGAAATATCGCCGGGCGGCGCATCAGAGACGCCGCGGCCGGCGGCGACGGTACCGCGCTTGGTGATCAGGTAGACACCTACAGAACAGATCAAAAATCTGGAAGTTCACTCTGATTCACCCTCGGTACCGCGCTCGGTGATGACGGCAGACACCTAGTACACGTCAGCAGCTGGTGAGTAACACTTCATCACCCTCGGTACCGCGATTGGTGGTGAGGTGGACACACCGCTGAAGCAGAAGAGGCAGCCGGAGACGAAGCCGACGGCGGTGAGGGGCGTGAAGCGCCAAAAGTCCTATCCGTTATGACGTGTTGATCATCAGCGAATGAAGCCATAACTAAGAGCTCATTGATTAATCAAAGGTCCTGGTAGACGATACCGCCGCCGGAGATGGAGCAGATGGTGAAGGAGAGGTAGTAGACCTGATTAATTAGTTAACTACTTCATGATTGACTCGCCGGAGATGGTGGAGCAGATGGTGAAGGAGGGGTAGCATCACCGACGGTACCGCGAGCGGCGCGAGCGGCGGCGGCGGAGCATCCTCGAGGGTGTCGCCACGCTTGAGCGCAGTCTCGAGCTTCATCTGCTCGGCGAGGAGGGAGAGCCGCTCGGCCTCCAGCGAGGCGCGCTCCGCCGCGATCGAGTCCTGCGTGTAAAGTCCTCGTCCACCACCAGAGAGTGCAGCCGCTGCAGCGTCCCGCCGGCCGCCTCGCGCGACCCGCCGGCGTGCCTTGCGAGCAGCAGTGTCCGCGCGCCGAGATGTCGCCGGGCGAGGCGGGAGGTAGTCGGGTGCCGGGCGCATCTAACGAAGATCTGGAGCGTATCCAGCCCAGGCTAGGCCGCGCCGCCGCCGAGAAGACGGCGGAGCGGAATCGGCGCGTCGAGAGCCGCGGCGGCAATCAGACCGCGCCGACGCGCGGTCGGGCGCCGCGCCGCGCCGGGAGGATGCATGGAGGACACGCAGGGGCGTGGCCGAGGCGTGGCGGCGAGAGGGCGAGAGAGACAGCAGGGCTGGAGCGAGAGGCGCCCGTCCGGCTGTGTGGGCAAATAAAGAAAAAATCAGTATCGCGCCTAGAATTCCGCCGGAAAAAAGTTTGCCGAAATCGAGAGGGAATGGCCTGGGAGCCCCAGAAAATGGCCACCTACTTTTTCTCTTTTTGGGGCTGGTGCGAGGCGAGGCGAGGCCTGTGTGGCGGCTTCTGGGAGGGGCTAGGAGAGGGGCGGGCTTGGCGGGAGAGGAGTCCGCGGGCGGCGCGAGCGGGCGTCCGGTGAGCGGTGTGGACGGGGCCGTGCGTGGTTTTGCGAGCTTCGGCGGTGGGGCGGCGTCGTGGCCGTCGGGAGGCGAGGAATGTAGCAGCTGCTGTCCCGCACTGCTGCAGGCCGCCTGGCAGGCGGTGTCATGGCGCCCCGTGAGGTGCGCGGGGGAAGCGAGCGGCGCCGGGCCTGCCGCGCGGGGGCGGGCGGCGGCGGGGGCGGCGAGATGGGCCCGTGCGAGCTGCTTTGGCACCCGAAATAAAGTCGTCGTCCAAAGTCGAGCAGAGGGCCTGAAGATTTGCAGCGCGCGCGGGGAGGGTCACGGTGGTCGGTGGTTTTATCGGACGAGGACGATCCTGGGGGCTGCGGACGTCTCCTGCCGATTCTCCGCACGGCTGTTGGTCGCGGGTTGCGCGGGTCGCTCGTGGAGCGGCGTGGGGTCCGTCCTCGCGCGGGCTCTGAAGCGAGGCGATTTTCGCCCTCCCGCGTCGACATTTTGGGGGCCTTCCGGAGCGATTCAGGCGGCGCGGGTTTGATGGGGCGGTAGCGCGGGGCGGCCTCCACCGTTTTGGCAAAAACCGCGTTTTCCGCGCGCGGCCGGCGTCGCCCCGGGAAAGTCGTGTCGCTGCGCTCCACGACTTTCTCCCGGGCTCCGCCGGGGTGTGGTTGCGGCGGCGGTAATGACCCTCCCTCTCTCTCTCTCCTTTCTGCGCGCGCAGCGCGCGATTTTTTGGTGGGAGGGCCGTTTTAAACGATTTCTGAGCCCTTCTTCGAGCCGTGGCGGGGGGCGTCTAACCCTAGCTTAACCCTAACCCTTACCTTCCCTCCGCTTCCGCCTCGGCCCTAACCCTGACCTAACCCTAACCTAACACCCTAACGACACCCTCTCCAACCCTAACGGCGCCATGGAGCGACGGACCTGCGCGGAGAGAGATGGCCCTGCGCGCCGGAGGCGATCGCGTGGCAACAAACGTGGCGTCGGCGAGAGGTGGAGGTGATGGCGGGAGAGATCGCCGAGCGTCACGGCGGCAATCTGTCGGCCGATGCGATGCTGCCGCCTCGCCGTTGCTCCTTGGCGCTCCTTGGCGCAGCAAGCGCTGGAGCGAAGACCTGGGGAGTCTAGCGTCAGAGCGGCGCGACTGCGCCATCGAGGTGGCAGCTGGAACGAGCGGCGCGAGAGACGGCAGACGCTATCCACTCCAGGTAGATGCGAAGAACCTAGTAGCGACAGCACGAAGCGTGAGCCCGTGGGAGCGAGGGGAAGGAGCGATGGTGCACTGTTCTCGAATATTGGCGAGCGAGGCAGGGCGAGAATGGGGAAGCGATCCAGACGTGACAGAGGCGAAGGCGGCGGCGAAGGCGGCGGTGAGTGCAAGAGAGCGAGTCCGAGTCGCACGCACACGGAGATGCAACAGCTACGCAGTGGTGCGAACGGTATGGAGGCGTTGCGTGGGTGCACGCGCACGCTCCCGCACGATCGTGTGCGATGGCGAGCCAAGACCGCGCGGCCGAAGAAGAATTTAAACAAGACAAGTCTCTCCGAAGAAGAATTTTGCAGCCAAATTATCGCGAACGGTGTTCTTTCTTTCTTTCGACGCGACGATCCGTGGATGGGATGAAGAAAAAGAAAAGAAACTGGCGCTGCCGCGAAGAGGCCTGTGCTCTCGCTCGTACGCCCTCATTCTGACGGTCAGAACTCCCGTCTCACTCTTTTCGACTCGCATAGGGCTCGAGGCGCCGTTTTAGCAGACGCCGTGCAAGGGGCGTGTCGCGCGCGTGCTGTGCTGCCCGCTCGGCGCCGTTAGCACGGCGCGGAGCGCCTTTGCGGCGGTGAGAAGGCGATTGACGGCGTTCACGGTGTTGAGGTGTGAAGAGGCGCCGTTCACACTCTTTGCTATGAACAGGGCTCGGCTCGCTGACTCGTGAGACGGCCTTCGCGGTGCATGGGCAGCGCGTGCTCCTCTGTACGTGCCGCGCTCTCCACGTGGCGCGCAGCGCCGCTAGAACGGCTTGACGGCGAAAAGACTTAGCGGCTTCGAGGTGTGAAGAGACGATTCTCACACTTTTCGACTCGGATAGGGCCCGCGGCGCCGTTGTGTCAGACGCCGTTCAAAGGGTGCTACCTTGGCGCGTGTGCCGCGCTTTACGTGCTCGGCGCCGCTGCCGTGAGCAGCGCCCTCGTTTGGGCGGCAAGAAGAGGCGCCGTGTAAGTTGGGGAGATGCGGGGAGATATTGGCGAGTCGTGGCCTGACTCTCCTCTCCTCTCGTCTCGTCTCGTCTCGTCTCGTCTCGTCTCGTCTCGTCTCGTCTCCTCTCCTCTCCTCTCCTCTCCTCTCCTCTCCTCTCCTCTCCTCTCCCCTCCTCTCCTCTCCTCTCCTCTCCTCTCCTCTCCTCTCCTCTCCTCTCCCCTCTCCTCTCCTCTCCTCTCCTCTCCTCTCCTCCCCTCTTGTCTCCTCCCCTCTCCTCTCCTCTCCACTCCACTCCTCTCTTCTCTCCTCTCCTCTCCTGTCTCCTCCCCTCTCTCGAGTCGCGCGTAAGGGGGCCGCGGCGTGTATGGTCGGGCTCGGCCCTCGGGCGTCGGGGCACGGGGGAATCGCGTAAGCGAAATCCGAAAAGGCGGCGGATTCGTGCGTTGTGCATCGTCCATCGACGGTGGCTACGGATCGGTTTCAGCTGGTTTTGAACTTTTGAACAGAGCCTTTTGATCTAAAAGCTAGCATGCCGTGAAAAGATACGGTTTGATCGGACTCACCAAACTGTGCTCGCTGCGGTGAGACTTTAATCTCTTTGGCTGCCTGCCACGACAGAGATCTGGCCGTCCCTCGCATGGAAATGAGGCCAGGTACGTGAGTGCGCTGCACGTGCGCGGAGGGCGCGGCAACACCGCGCTCTGCGGGGACGCCCTCCTACGTCACAGCAAATCGGGCGGCCGACCCACCAGCCCGCTCACCCGGAAGCCAAACCCGCGCCCCCCCAGCACTCCGCCGCTGCTGCTCCGCCCGGCGGTGGCGGGCGCCGCCGCCTCCGCCGCCGCGGCCTCGGCGATCGAGGCGGCGCTGAAGCCTCCGCCGGCGCTCCTCCGCACTGAGGGTGACCACGTGCGAGCCTGTTCACACCGCGAGCTGTGAACACACGCTGCCGCGCCGGCGCGGTTGGAGCCGGCGAGGCACTGCCAGCAGCGGAGAGAGATGCAGCTGCGAGGTGGAGGCGCCGAGCACCATTGGAGGTGGGTTGTGTCCAGACATGCCCCGCTCGAGCGACGCCGTCGCGTCGAGGTCGACGGAGATATCGCGGTCAAGCAACGTCGAGATCGACGTCGAGATCCGCCGCATCCCTCCCGAAGTAAGCCGCTGCAGCTGGTGCGGCGCCCCGCGCGCGACCGTCGCGCCGAGCAGCGCCGCGTCGCCGCCGTCGCCGCCCGCCGCGCCGCCAAAGTCCAGCTGCCGCGGCTCTGCGCCCCGCCGCGAAGGGTGACGCGAGGGCAGCCGCCGTGACTTGAGCTCTCGCAATCTCTCTGGCGACTCGTACGACGCCGCCCTCCGCTGGCCATGGCCAGGCGCGGAGTTGGAGCGGGGCGGGGAGCAGAGGTAGGGGTCGCCCAGCGTGGGGTCGCCTGTTCACAGCGGGGAGGTGTGAAGAGAGGGGGAGCAGAGGTAGGGGTCGCCCAGCGTGGGGTCGCCTGTTCACAGCGGGGAGGTGTGAAGAGAGAGGGAGCAGAGGTAGGGGTCGCCCAGCGTGGGGTCGCCTGTTCACAGCGGGGAGGTGTGAAGAGAGGGGGAGCAGAGGTAGGGGTCGCCCAGCGTGGGGTCGCCTGTTCACAGCGGGGAGGTGTGAAGAGAGGGGGAGCAGAGGTAGGGGTCGCCCAGCGTGGGGTCGCCTGTTCACAGCGGGGAGGTGTGAAGAGAGGGGGAGCAGAGGTAGGGGTCGCCCAGCGTGGGGTCGCCTGTTCACAGCGGGGAGGTGTGAAGAGAGGGGGAGCAGAGGTAGGGGTCGCCCAGCGTGGGGTCGCCTGTTCACAGCGGGGAGGTGTGAAGAGAGAGAGAGAGAGAGAGAGCAGAGGTGGGGGTCGCCAAACGTGGGGGCGCCGAGTGGGTCTGAAATGACGACGTCGGACAGCGCTGCACCGGAGGAGCAGGAGAAGGAGGAGGGCAGGCCGACCTCCTCCAACAGCCGCTGGCCTGACACGCCCCGCCTCCCCTCGTCGAGAGAAACCGCCTTGCCCAGCCGCGCCAGACGCGACGGCGCCACGCTCCGCGCAGACTCGCAGATGGCGGCGGCCAGCTGCTGCCCGCCTGCATGAGTCAACCGCCCACCGCATTGGCGATAGTGAATTATTGACGCCTGGGCCGATGGCAGCTCCGACATACGGCCAAGAGTCAAGAATCACAGTTCAATTCAATCATTAATAGTTCACCTGGGCCGATAGCGGCTCCGAATACGAATAGTAATCACAGTTAATATTCAGCAATTAATAGTTCACCTGGGCCGATAGCGGCACCGACGTAGGGCGGCGCGGCGGGCGGCGCATCCGAGAAGCCTATTTTTTCTTTTTTCTCTGCTAGCGAAAGAAAAGAAATATCGCCGGGCGGCGCATCAGAGACGCCGCGGCCGGCGGCGACGGTACCGCGCTTGGTGATCAGGTAGACACCTAAAGAACAGATCAAAAAATGGAAGTTCACTCTGATTCACCCTCGGTACCGCCCTCGGTGATGACGGCAGACACCTAGTACACGTCAGCAGCTACTGAGTAGCACTTCATCACCCTCGGTACCGCGATTGGTGGTGAGGTGGACACACCGCTGAAGCAGAAGAGGCAGCCGGAGACGAAGCCGAAGGCGGTGAGGGGCGTGAAGCGCCAAAAGTCCTATCCGTTATGAAGTGTTGATCATCAGCGAATGAAGCCATAACTAAGAGCTCATTGATTAATCAAAGGACCTGGTAGACGATACCGCCGCCGGAGATGGAGCAGATGGTGAAGGAGAGGTAGTAGACCTGATTAATTAGTTAACTACGTCATGATTGACTCGCCGGAGATGGTGGAGCAGATGGTGAAGGAGGGGTAGCATAGTAGACCGGCACGACGGCGCTCGAGTCAAAGTGCTTCTGCGCCAAGTTGAGGTGCTTCAGCTGGAGGACCTGCGAAGTATAGCCGCGAGATTGCGATCTGGACTAGTGAGCTGGAGGGCCTGCGAGGTACAGCCGCGAGATTGCGATCTGGACTAGTGAGCTGGAGGGCGAAGTACAGCCGCGAGACTGCGATCTGGACTAGTGAGCTGGAGGGCGTGCGAGGTACAGCCGCGAGATTGCGATCTGGACTAGTGAGCTGGAGGGCGAAGTACAGCCGCGAGATTGCGATCTGGACTAGTGAGCTGGAGGGCCTGCGAGGTACAGCCGCGAGATTGCGATCTGGACTAGTGAGCTGGAGGGCGAAGTATAGCCGCGAGATTGCGATCTGGCGCGAGATTGCGATCTCGACTACTTGTGGTGGCTGAGCAAGCAGTTCACCGCGGTGGAGACGAGGACGGGTAGAAGCAGGTAGGGGATCGGAGAGCGCAGCACCTATTAGTTGATGAGTGATTAAACACGTAGTTCAGGGTTAGTTAAGTACGGGATCGGAGAGCGCAGCACCTATTATTGAGTGATTAAGCGCTTACTTAAGGGTTAGTTAAGTAGGGGATCGGAGATCGGCAGTACCGACGGGTCTTCGCCCAAATGAGTGATGAAGTGCGAGATGGCGGAGGAGGAGAGGACGGTGATGGAGCCTACGGGGAGATAGGGGGAGATATGGGGAGATGTGAGGAGATACGGAGGAGGAGGGGACGGTGATGGAGCCAAGCAGCGAGCAGAGGCCGACGTTTAGCAGCAAGTACCTGCGTGGCGAAGACGCAAACATCTTTGCGCGAGTTCGGGTGCTGTGCAGCCAGAGCATCGCGTGGGTACGACAGAGGCGAATACGGTCGAATACAGCGAATGCGGTCGAATACGGTCGACGGAAGGCGTGTCCTCTCGAGGTCTCGCTGCTTGTGACTACGGACTCCGCTTCTAGTGGCAGACACCGGTGCCCGAACTTTGGTTCCGAGAGCCAGAGCAGCAGGATTCCAGCGCCGACGACGGCGAAATAGATGAGGGAGGGGGGCGCGGTGACGAGCGTTTTAAAGGAGGTAAGGGAGAGGTCCTCCACCGCCGGCGGCGCCTAGTTGGTTCGTTGTTGACACGTCATCATTCAGTGTGGGGAGGGGGAGGTCCCTCCAACAGCCGGCGGCGCGTTGAGCACAACGACCACGGAGCCGAGGACGGTGACGACGATTCCGAGAAGGTTCCGGAGGTAGAAGCGCTCCTAGCCAGTCGAGAGGCACTGATCAGCACTAGCGAATTAGCTGCTCGGCAACTGGGGGCACTGGCACTGGGCGCGCCTTTAGCACGAGGAAGGCGATGGCGGCGTTGGCGATGACGGCGACGGCGCCGAGGGGCGACACCACAGTTGGGCTGGCGAGGCCGAAGGCGGCGAAGTTGCCGACCTCGCCCAGCATCAGCCCGAGCAGCGCCACAGGGAAGAGCGTGCGGGCGCGCGCTGCTAACCTCGGCTCCTCGTCTTCGCGCTCGAAGGCCATGTGCACCCACTTTTGGAGGGCGAGGCTGCACGCGATCAGCAGGTTCCCGCTAACAGCGAGGATGATGCCGAGGTGGAGCGGCGTGAAGGTGTGCTCCCAGATGGAGCTGGTCTTCCCGCCGAACGGCACCCATGTCATCGGCGCGGCACGCAGGGGCCGGTGCGAACGGGCTGGCGCGAGCGCGCCGCTGCTGTGCTGCAAAAAAAATAACGCACGGCCACTAAGCAGCGGTTGAGTCCGGGCGTGCCGTTCTCCCATCCCTCCCTTGGGTTGTGTGTTTTCTTTCTTTCTTTCAGCATTCTTCCGGGGGCCCCTCTGCGCCGGGGAGGAGGCTAGGACGCAAGCGTCCGTCGCCCTTTTGGGCCCGCAGGGGTCGGCGCGAATGGGCCCGCGAGCGGCGGCGCGCAGGCAGCTAGCCCATGAGAAGAGCGTCCATAGACACCTCACTAGACCCCACATACGGTCTCGTCCGTGCCTCGCAGGCCGGTGAGATTGCTAGAGGCAGAGCAGCTGCTCTAGCCTCACATGTCACTTCTTGTCGTCTGTTGTTTGTTGTGCCCTTGTTTGTGTCCTCTGGCACCGTGGAGTGCTGGGGGGGGCGACAGGGAGGATGTGGCCCTGAGTTATGTGTACGCCGACTCAGGGTGTGTGGCAGCCAGATGGCTGTGTGTCTTGTGAGCTTGTTTGTGTCTGTGTGTCGCTCGTGCGTGTCGTCATCATCTGTCCAGCGTCCACCCATACCGCGTTGGTGTCCAGTCCGAGCCTGGCTGTTCTTCACCTTACTACCTACCTACCTGCTGTGCTGCAAAAAAAAGAATTTGAAAAAAGAATTTAAACAAAAGAGTCTCTCTCACAGTATACAGGCTCGACACAGGTGCGAACTGGCGCGTGCTAGTGCTATCACCGGCACACCAAAAAAATTTTTTTACTCTCTCGTCTAGCCGTGTGTGCTGGCGTCCGGGTCCCAGCGGGTTTTCACGTAACAAGTACACACGACACCGGGTACGGGACTGGCACTACAAAGGACACAGCAGACGGCCCCCTCAGGGGCCATCGTCATCGAACAAGTCGATCTCTGCACGATTTAGCCCTCCCGAGCCGTAATCCTCCCCAAATGGAGCGAGCTCCGCGCGCTCCTCGCGCTCCTCCTTGGCGCGCCCCTTCGCCGCCCGCCGGCGGCGGTGGTTCGCGTCCGCCTCTCCCACGCCTTCCTCCGCCTTGAGGAATTTGAGCCTCCATGGCTCCTGCTTAAGCAGGAGCGCCTCGACAGCCGCAAGAGCAGCGTCGCAAGCCGCCTCCCGAGAGAGGCCGTCCGCGAGCGCCGCCGCATGCGCCGCCAACCCAGCCGCCTTTCGCGCCTCAAAGTTGGCATCCCCGTACTCCTCGATGTCCAGCCACCACTTATCGTCCCACTTTTCACCGGTGTCGTGGGAAAAAAAAGAACATAAACAGCGAAGCGGGGTTGAAAAACAAGAACCGAAAAGAACAAGGAAAAGAAATCGTGGGCGGGGGGGCTGTAACCCCAAAGGGGTGCGTGTGTAAAGAACATATGGAGCGAGGAGCGGGGCGGCGCGAGCGGCGGCGCGCACGGCTGTGCTGCAATCGTGTGTTTGGCGTCATGTTGTGCATCGCAGCTGCGTATTCTCGTATTATCTTCGAGTAAGGTATTGCGTGGGGACGGTGCGTATTCTCGTATCACTAGCTCCGAGTAGAGGGGGCGTTCCGCAGCTAGGGGAAACCCGGAGCGCAGAACTAACCCTCGGAGACCCGTGTTATGGCCCTGCGACCGCGCACCCCCGGGGCTAGGGCTCTCTTGCCCGTAACCCGATGCCGAGCGTCCGGCCAACTGGGTGCGCTTCTCAGCTCCCCGGTCCTGGGCGTGAGGTTAATGACTGCACTCCAAGTTAGGGGGTGCACACCACCGACGGGCGCCGCCTTTTTGGGCGGCGTATAATGGTGGCCCTGCTCATCCTACTGCCATGGAGCTCGGTGCCACGGCCGGTCCTCGACTCCGCTGCCAGTCGATCGGGCCCGTGCGACTTGCTCGGGGTCAATCGCAGCGCGGACATGAACCGTCCTCCCCATGCTGTGGCACAGGTGAAATTCTGCGTGTTTCAGCGAGGACCAAATGCCCTCACTTCATCCTGCCCAAGAGTCGCGCTACACGTGGGCTGCTGGCCGGCGGTCACGATCCCACACGATGGTGGCCTCATGTCACGGCGATCTGCTGAGGAAGGAGATCCTAGCCGACGCGGCGCAGCTCGAGGCCACCACACTGGTCAAACTATTAGCCTCATAATGAGGAAAAGGCTAATAGCGATTTCAAATAGTGCTACTATTAGCTCAGAGGGGCTAATAGCTGAGCTTCATAACGTCTGGAGCTATTAGAACACCACTATGAGATGGGCTAATAGCGACTATTAGGGCGCTATTAGGGCACTATGAGAGCCGAATAGTGGCCCTAATAGTGCCCTAATAGTGCGGTACCCGCGCGACGCGCACTACGCGCGGCGCGGCAAGAGCGATGGCGCCGACTCTCTAGGAGACGGGCTTCCATGAGGCAACCACGGCGAACGAGAAGGTCACCGTGGAGTCGTTGAACTTGACCGTGGTGACGTCAGGCTTGGTGGTGCTCTTCATCACCTTGACGCACCAGCCGCCGGCGGAGACGCCGGGCCACAGCGAGGGCGGCGCGAGCAGGAAGCTATGATGTAACATACTTCCGGGCCGGTGTGCGGGGAGCGAACCTTAACGACCGCCCAGAAGCTTTCTGAGCGAACCAATCGGGCCAGGATCATCAGTATATGTCCCCTGCACAACATCGTGGGCGTTTGAGCGGTATTTGAGGAGCACCGCGACTCTGAAGTTCGGCCGGGTGGTCTGCAGACCCCCCCCCCGGAGCAGCAGAGGCTCCGTGGGGTCGAAAAGTCGACGCTGGGAGTCGCACTCGTCAAACCGTCGCAACACCACGCGGTCCGCACGTACCTCCCACATCCCCTCCACCGCTGAGAAGGCGCAGATCGACCGCCGGGCCGCGTAGTCGTCGTTAAGGAGCGGTTTTTGGAGCCGTACGAAGAGGTCCCAGACGGGCGAACATGCGGTTTTTCGACGACCACACGCGATGTGGTATCTGGTTTTTGCTAAAAACGGGCCGCCTAGTGCAGCATCACTAGTACAACACGCAACTACACTGAGGGCTCCACACTAGCCGGTATAGGCGAGCCCCGGCGGCCTCACCGTCGCCGCTCGCGGCGGAGCCGACGGCGGAGCCACGGGTCGGTGCGACCTTTTGGGGGCCCATGAGCTCGCCGGGACGTCACCGATGGCTCGGCGCGCCTCTTCCCGCCAGCGCGGGGCGGCCCACCTACAGGAGCGAGGGGGAGGTGGTCGTGCGCTCACTTTGGCGGTCGCGCGCGAGGTGAATACTGGGTGTGAGGCGCGCAGGAGGCGATAGTGGGCGCGCCGGCGGTCGAGCCACCGAAGAAGTCGACGTGGCGCAGCTCCGCGCCGGCGGGCACGACCGAGCAGATGCTGTCGGCGGCGGTCACGCGACGAGGGAGAGCCGCAGGAGCCCTCTGAGAGCCAGGCGCCGAAAAGCGACGTGAGTGGCGGCCGCGATCAGCCACCTGTGGGCGGTCAGCGGGGTGACGCCACGCCTCAGCGAGCTGGATCCGGGAAGTGCAAGGGGTCGCGCGGGCCCTGTCTGCAGCAGCAGTGCTAACTAGAACGACAAAATTCCGGATGGACCGGAGAGTGTCTACATTCTCGAGGCACCGTTCTCGGCCCGGCTGGCAAGCTGGCTGGTGGTCGCGCGCGGCGCGTCAGCGCCACTCCGACTGGTCGGGCACCTCGGCTGGGTCCATCAGCAAGAGGCCCGCGCCGTCGGGCGGCCCCGGGAGCGCATGATGCCCCTCCGAGAGGCGCTGACGCCCCGCCGAGATCGCGCTGGTTTGGCACGAAAAACACGAGGGCCCAAGGGGGGGGGTCAAGTATGTTACATCATAAAGCTGGTCGTGCGGTCCGCACGAGCGCGGGTGTTGCCTGCGCAACAGGGGCACGGGGACGAGCGTCAGCCCGGCAGCTTGCGGCGGCGCGCGCGCGCGGCGACGGTGCGCACGGCTTGGGAGAGCAGGGAGAGAGAGAGAGAGATAAGGCCGCTGCCGCCGCAGAACGCAGGATGTGGCTGCGTGCGGGGCGCGGCGGGCGCGGGCGCGCGCTCGGACCTTGCAATTTCAAACTGCGCACGCCCTGATCACGAACAGGATGCGGGCGGCGCAGAGATCTGCTGCCGCCCGGACCGCCGCCCGGGGATGACCCAGGACCTCGCCGGCGCTGCGCCGGCGAGGGGCCGAAGCCCGGCGGTTGATCACGTTCTCCACACCCGCGCGCGCTGTGCGGTCGCCGTTCCGCCTCACATGCCTGCGGACAGCGTTAGCTCCGAGAGGTTTGGTCGGTGTGGAGCGGAGCCCGTATTGTACGAGTAGGCCTGTCGATCGCGACGGCCTTGGTTCCCACCTCCCGGCCACCTGCAGCCCGCTCGCAGGTAGCCATCCGATAAGCCATTCACAGCGACAGCTGTGACGGCGCCTCACGTGCTCGGCTTTCACAAAGTCGATCGCCGATCTCCTTGCTCGCGAGCGATGCACGCTGCCCCGCTGCGTTTGCTCGCTCGCTCACACTGCACGATTCGCCCCTCCCGCCACACCCTGCGAACCGTAGGTGGTTGGGCAGGCCCCTTCGGGGCCTAGCATGCATAGCCGGCGCGCTGCCTGCAGCCGGCCCACGCCGCGAAGAGCCCGATCGCCCGCGCCCCAGCCCCGCCAGCCCGCGCGACCTCGTTGCCTCAGCGATCTGCCGAATTGCGAGCACGATGCGATCTCACCATGTGACTGATACATGGTTAGAGGCGCTAGCCTCCGCTGCGGATGGCGTGTGCGACACGACTGCGCCCGTGGCGGGTGGCAGTACGTGTGACACCATGTGAGTGATACATGGGCCAGACATGTTGTGTGTAACACCATGTGAGTGATACATGGGCCAGCGGCGTCTGCCACCGCTGCCGAGCGGCAAGTCCAATACACGGCTGTGTGCCCGTTGCGGGTGTAAAAGCGTGTGACACCGTGTGTATGATGCACGGTCTAACTGCGTTAGCCACCGCTGCCGAGCGGCAAGTGCGACACACCCGGCCCGTTGCGGGCGGCGGCTGAGAGCCATTGCGCGCACAGCTCGACTTGTGCCGCTGCATGGCTATAGCGAGATGCCAATCTCTCGCTCAAGAGATGAGACAATCTCCCTGCCGAGCTCGTTCACACCGCGTGTTCACAGCTCGACTTGTGCCGCTGCATGGCACTATAGCGAGATGCTAATCTCTCGCTCAAGAGATGAGACAATCTCCCCGCCGAGCTCGTGCACACCGCGTGTTCACAGCTCGACTTGTGCCGCTGCATGGCACTATAGCGAGATGCTAATCTCTCGCTCAAGAGATGAGACAATCTCCCCGCCGAGCTCGTTCACACCGCGTGTTCACAGCTCGACTTGTGCCGCTGCATGGCACTATAGCGAGATGCTAATCTCTCGCTCAAGAGATGAGACAATCTCCCCGCCGAGCTCGTTCACACCGCGTGTTCACAGCTCGACTTGTGCCGCTGCATGGCACTATAGCGAGATGCTAATCTCTCGCTCAAGAGATGAGACAATCTCCCTGCCGAGCTCGTTCACACCGCGTGTTCACAGCTCGACTTGTGCCGCTGCATGGCACTATAGCGAGATGCTAATCTCTCGCTCAAGAGATGAGACAATCTCCCCGCCGAGCTCGTTCACACCGCGTGTTCACAGCTCGACTTGTGCCGCTGCATGGCACTATAGCGAGATGCTAATCTCTCGCTCAAGAGATGAGACAATCTCCCTGCCGACGACGACCGCTCGCACGCTGCGACACCTCCCGGGGATAAGGCATAGGAGCGCTTCTACGAAGCAATCTGTCGCCTCCAGGCCACTCTGCGGTAGCACACACACGTGCGTGAACACGATGCGCACCCGAATGCACCACTCCTATCCTTCCGGGCGGAAAGTGGTGCGGTGTGCGTGAACACGATGCGCACGTTAGCACAGCAACCGTAGCTAACAGACAGCGACAATTGCGTAGCGACTAGACAGCAGCTTCAATAGCAACAGCAGTAGCGAGAGCAACAGCAGCAGCAGCAGCAGCAGACGAGAGCTACCCTTCGCTTGCATTCGAGTACACTAGTGACTCGCACTAGTTCGCTCCCTAGGACGAGCGACTCGCGCACGCCAGGGAGAACAATACCGACGGGTGGTGAGGAGGGCGGAGAGCCGGCGGGCGCGGTGTGCGCGGTCGCCACGCGCTGGTGGTGTGCGCGCGGTCGCCGCGCGCTGGTGGGCGACAGGTCACCGAGGCGAGCGGGGAGCGAGCGAGGAGCACACTGGCCAGTGTGTGCTGTGCGCGACTCTCAAATCGCCAAGTCAAACAAGAAAAACACCTAGCGAGCTTCGTCGACAACAAACCCTGCAGTGGTCGGCATCAGCGCGCCGGGCGCGGCAGGTCGTGCTGCGCTTCGAAAAGCCGCCGGCCTTCCTCTCGCATCGTCTCGTCCAGCTGCGCCTTGACCGATGGCAGCGCAAGGCTTCTCGCCGGATCCGCGATCACCGTGGATGGACGCCAAGAAGACCAGCGCTGCGCCGCACGCCGCCAAACCACCACGCTGGCGCCAGCTCGCAGAGGGTTTCTCGCTGCACGCCAGATGGTCAGCGGGCGCCGATGGCGGCATGGGCGCGACGAGCTCCGTGGCCGGCATGTCGCTATGAGGCCCAGCTATTAGGCCGCGCCGTGAAGCATGCGGCATGAATCGCGAAATCGCTAAGTGCGCATTATGAGGGTCCATTATTAGGACATCGGCTATTAGCACACCTAATAATTGCACTATTAGCCCCTCTGAGCTAATAGTAGCACTATTTGAAATCGCTATTAGCCTTTTCCTCATTATGAGGCTAATAGTTTGACCAGTGCAGCAGCATCTGCACCACCAAAGCCAGGCCACACACTCCACGCTGGCCCACAGAGTCCCACTCTAGGGTGCCCACAGGACCAAAAAAAGAAAGGAAAAAAGAAATGGGGCACTCCCGATCGCAGCACTTCATGTTGGATAGTCGAGATATTGAGAGTGTGACTAGGAGGGCGGGACGCTGGGGATTCTCAAAGGTATACCCTTGGAATGGCCGGATCCAGCCTTAAAAGTACGAGATCGCGCGCGCTTCGCGCACAGCACCGCCTGTTCTCCGCGGCTGTGTGACGACGCGTGCCGTGTGCCAGCAGAGTTGGGCGCGCGCGGCGCGACGGCGCCCGCGAGGGAAGGCGCGGGTGCAGCGGCCGCCGGCGGCCGTACCGCTCGCCAGCCAGCGCAGCAGCGGCCAGCGCAGCGGCCGCCGGCGCAGCAGCCAGAGCAGCCGGTGCGCGCCTTGCGAGGCGAGTACTGCCGCCCGGCAGCCTTGAGGCGGCCGGGCGGCAGTACTCGTTCGAACTTTGCGAGCCGTGCGCGCGCCGAGGCGCCCGCGGCGCGCGCCCGCCCGGCTGCCAGTAGGAGGCGGCGCAATATGGCCTATAGTACAGCCCTTAGGAGGAGGAAGAGGCTGGCTGGCAGTGCTGTATGCCGCCGAGGGGCAGTTTTGGGGTGCTGTCACGGGCCCAGGGGGCTGCAGAAGGTGTCCGCAGCCGGGACAACCCGCCCCCCCAGTCGAGGCCGGTCGAAGCCCACTTGACCACAGCCATGAGGAGTCCTCTTGGTGCTCCTGGCGGCCGTTGGAATGGCGAGCGCGCGCCGAGGGGGGGGGGGGGGGGGTCTTGCTTGCTCCACACCGAGCGCCATCGGTCCGGACCGGCGTGGTCACCGAGGGTCGGCTTGCACAAGGTCTGTGCCGCGGGCGCTCGGCGCCACGTGCAGTGTCACGCTCGTGCTCGCGCGTGACAAACCGGGGAACCCTCGTTTCCTATGTACTCGGTCCCCCAACGGAAGAGGCCTCGCTCCTATTGGAACAATCCAACATCAGATTTGCCTCGTGCGTCCCTTTTTGAGCCGGAAAGCTATTTTCTTTTGGGTCCTGTGGGCACCCTAAGGATGGAGGTGCCGAACTGGATGGGGGTCAGCCAGGGAGGCTGTTGTGGCGCACCGGACCGCCCCCCAGCACCGTGCCCCACCCAACTGCATCCATGGGAGTCACAAACGGTGCTGCACTCGCGGCTGCAAGCACTCACGACACTCAAACCCACCACCTGCCTCCTACCCTGTACGAGGAGCCATTTCACCCGTGCAACATCTGCACAGGTGTACCGCCGACGCTCAAGCGCCCGGCCCCTACTAGAGTAGTCTTGGGGGACCCACAAACGACCAATACATCCACTCGGGGCTGCAGCATGTGTCCGGGGGGGGCATCCCCGTGAAGCAGTCAGCAGGTGCCGGACACGGCGTTGGCCGTCTTGGACCGAGATCAGGGCGCAACTGCCTACCTCGTGGGGCTGAAGGACCGTCATGGGGTCGGCTTTGATGCTGCCAATCAGTCGGGTCGATAGT